GGGGAGGAATTTGGACGTCCAGGGGGGAGGGGGGGTACCCGAAAACCGGACACAACCGGACAGGGGGGAGGGAGGGGTCATTTTTGGCAAAAACGACCGGACGGTCCTTTATGGATGGCCCCCAGTGCGCGCGGGACGGTCGCTCTTTGGGGACTAGTGCGCTCGCGAAGGGTACCGCGTGGGTCCTGGGGCGCTGATCAAGCGTACAATAACGCTCACTGGTCTCGTCTGGGAGACCGCCAAGCGCACTAGTCCCACCGCTCAACGGACCTCGGAGCGCACTAGTCTCACAGCGAACGTACTGAATGGGTCCTGTTTGGGGACTGAATGAGACCATTTGGGGACTGTTTGAGTACTGATTATTTTCGTAATGGACAATATTAAAATAGGGAAGTAGGAGACCGCACGATTATTTCAGTAAAGCAAAATGAAGATTGATATTTTTTCTTTTATTTCAAACACAACTTTGAAGAAAACCTTACAAAAACAATGCGAGTTACTGACAGTATGGCATGTCTTGGACGGCGTAGAGGCTCCTTGCTCAGTGCAGCAGGTATCCAGTTTAAACATTCACTCTAGAGCAGAGGATGCACACGGGCCGCAAACCACCCCAACGGAAGACGGCAGGACGGAACGGAGGTTGCGCCGCTGCATGAGGCAGCCAGCGACATCAGTGCACTTGACCTTTGGACGTATAAGTACGAGCCGCTTGAGGTGCAGCAGGCCGCTGGCAGCCAGGTCCTGTCCCAAGTCGGGGAAGTAGAAGCCACCATTATGCTCGTCGTCACTGATGGTGCAGAACACCTGCAGCTCCCGCAGTGACGAGGCGTGCGCGCGGACCAGCGAGAGCATGGTGGGCTTGCGAAGAGTGTGGAGGCCCACGCACAGCCAGCGAAGTGTCCCGTACTGTGAGGGACTGAACGTTACATTGGGACCAAGGTAACTCCACACCGTTAGGCTCTGCAGGGCGGGCATGCGCTGCACACAGCGCAGCTGATCCTCGCTTGCAGTTTCTATTCTGAGCTCTTCCAGCTGCAACGGCAGGTCCGGGTAATCGTCACACTTCTCAACGCATTTGACGTCTAGCCGTTTGAGCGAAGTCAGTTTGAGCACCTCCTCTAGGACCTTCGGTTCTACCGGACCGGAGCACCCGAGCTCCTCCAGGTGCACCGGGTGCGACGCCAGGACACGCAGTAGTTTATCCGAGCCCTTGCCCTTCAAGCCCCTTATGCAGCGTGTATCTTTCCATCGCTGTTTGTCGCGTACGATATCATTCACCTTTAAATCATTTTCAGAGAGATCTTTGTCTGTTATGGCCATGATGGTTGTCATTGGTGGCCCCACGTAAGCGGCTGGGGACGAGGGGACAGCGACGTCGTCAACCTGGACGAAAAGACATCAAAACGACAGACTGAGCACCATGGTGCGCACGCTGAGATCAACAGAGGTGGCCGTCCTGGCTGGTGGCTTACCTTGGCCAGCTGGCCGTCTGCGCGCAGCTGCAGCAACAGAAGGCGGAAGACGTC